ACGATGGTTTTTAGGGAAAACCGCGTGGAGGTCAACCCTATATAGAACATTGCTAGTCATGAGGTCATTGTTTCACATTACTTACAATCCCTTCGCCTCTATATTAATGTTATCAGGAGGTAATGAATGTAATGATAATCTCTGGATCTACTAAACCGATTTATATATTTTTTAGATAGCCCATTTAACAAGGAAGCAATGAAAAATGTTGCAAAAACGGGAAAATGTGGCGTAGGAGGTCTCGTGCGGGTCTGAGAGTCTTAACTGATATCATTGGTATGAAACTGAATTTGTTTATTTTATTTACTGTCTACCTCAGTAAATTAATTAAGTTGAAAAAAAAACAAGAGTAAGATTAAATAATTACTTAATTGTTAAAAAAAATTATGTATGTATATATCCAATAAAAAGGTTTTTAAGTACTTATTTATATCAGTACTAGGAAGTAGACAATACTGTGTGACTTGTCCAGGTTTATAATTTTTATTAAAAATAGTTTCCTGTCAACGCCTTCTCTAGAATGTTTATCTATTATATTAGCAAATGTGTAATTTACGTTCTTGACTGTAATGTAGTTTGTCATCTTTTAAGTATACTTGTATTGTTAGGTTTTACAGTGATAAAAGTATTTTAAGTGTATCAATTTTTTCAAAACAAAACAAAATATACCTACCCAATCAAAGACTGTAGAGTGCTATAAATGATTGAATTTGAAATGTAAGTACCTATGATTGTAATATTTACCAATAAAACAATAGTTAATTATTTATTGTTCTATTTTTATTATCAAACTGCAAAGGCATATTTGATAGTAGTCGTGTAGTGACTGATATAAATACATGTACATGGCATGCCATTTCATGCCATTAATAAACCAGGTCGGGGCGTCACAAACATTGTATCAAATAGTTTTCGAATACCAGACAGGATGTTGCGAACGACATTGAATATGGATGGGGACGGCATAAAAGGCGATAAAAGTCAAGTGCGGCAATAAAAACTCACAAAATAAATTCAGCGCGTAAATGAAAACGGCGCGTACAATGGCGCGGGACTTTCCACGGCCCATTACCCGCCCCCGACGATTACAGCAAAACGGCAATTTAAATGAAATCATTTACCATATTATTTTCATTTGCTAGACTAACCCCCCTGCCTTCACCCCGCACGCCCGCAAACTCCATTTCGTCGGCTAAACTCGTACGCGCGGCTCAGCCAATTTTTTAAATGTACCCGCTCAAAATGAATTATGTAGCGAGCGCAGAAGGAGCGCCGCGGACAAACAAGAAATAAAACGGATGAGCGCGACTCGCGGCCCGAGAGCGAGACAGACACAGTTGCATGCTCCTCCTCCTTCCTCGCCCCCCGTGCCCTCTAGTTCCATCGTTCCACTTGAAGACGGCCCCGAGAGCTAAGCTCCCGTTTTATTGTCACTTACACCTCTTCCAAGATTTGTTTACCAGTAAGTCTGTCATTCGGAATCTTCGTCAAAACTTTTCACAAAGACACAAGGTTGGAATTCACTTGACTTCTCGCAGCTGAAACTGTACTTGTAATATGGTTGCGGAGCATACAAGACAAGTAAATTTTGAATCAACGCTCTGATTAAAGAATCAGACGCTGAAACGATTGCTTATAAAGTATTAAGATGCTTATTTTAGATTGTCCGAGAATATTTGATAATAACAGCTTCTTATTGTTTCGTTATAAACTTTGAAGGCTTTATGTAAATGCTTCTTTGTCTAAAGATAATTACAATCTACTTACGCTGATAAATTTTTGGGTAACAATCTAAACAATCTGTTCCAGTATCCTTGTCATTGGAATCCTACATAATCTTTTGCATTTATATATTCTGTGCTCCTAACTACTGATAACGGACTTATGTTTTGTTCCTACACCATCTTCAGATAATGAAGTAACAGTTAGTTTAAATGAAACACCTACTTTTTTAAATGTGAAAGATGTCCTTTTTCGAATCCGTTTATCGAAATCAATTTTAAAGTACGTAGTTACTTAAGTGTAATGGCATTTTAATATGTTGGATACCTGTTCGGTAAACTCTATTGGGTAATTATATCCGATCTGAAGCATATCGCATATCTTCAGAAACTAATAATTAGGTTTTCTTGTAACGAGTATCGGAGTAAATTAGTAGATTAGCTAATAAGTGAGTTACAGGAAAACATCCGCAACCATTTGTTTTCGATTGAACTAGAGCAGTGTGGAAATATATAGTTTTGAATAATATTGATTTACTAGGTGTTACCCGCGTTTTGAATTAAAGTAATATAAAATTTCTGAAATAAAAGTAGCTTTAGTCACTAGTTACGTTACAAGTTAACATTGGCTATCTACTAGTGAAAGTCCCGTCAAAATCGGTCCACCCTTTTTACAGACAGCGAGAACAAACAGACGGACACACTTTTTTGTATTGTATAAGTACCGTATATATGATAAAATATCCATAATTATGTTACAATCGGCACTTGTATTCATTTTTTATCGTGTCTATCAGATCTATAATTTTCAACAAACAGTAATCCTTAATAATTTCAATTATTTTATCATCAGGCAAATAGCTCTCCTATTTTCTACTGGTATTTTTGGTTTTGCAAAGTGCTTAAATGAAGTTATTTTTTTAATATTCTATTCTATTCTTGGATCATAATTATCAGTATTTTTGTTTTTTTTATATTGTAACATTGTTGAAAAGCACTGAATAAATATTTTTTTATATAGAAAAAATATTTAGAATTAAATTAAAATTAAAAAAAAAATTAATTTGAGCATTCTAATTTATTATTATTATTTTTTAGTTTATTTATTTTTAAATTTAATTTAATTTGCCTCCAACAAACAAAGCTTCCAAGTCATGTAATGCAGATAACAGTGCGGTGCACTTACACCGCGCACATCACGTTATCATGTGCCGCTCGTGATGTCATTAATCCGTTGCCATTCCAGAAGACTAAGATGTTATGCCCCTATATGCTGTATTCATGGCCTTACGTCACTCTTTAACAGAAAGACATTATACAAATTAAGCTGCTTGGCAGCTGAAATAGGTGAGATATATATATATATATATATATATATATATATATATATATATATATATATATATATATATAGTACCTATAGAGAAAGAATTGTAATTATTAGACATTGATATAAAGTCATTAAAAGAAAAACGACTACTATGGCCTCCCCATAGTACTTTTTCTTTTAATTGTTAGAGCAACAGAAATCAAAACAACAGTTTTTAGAAATTTGTCCGTTTGTATAGGCATGTATATATATGTATAGAAGTTTTTTATATTGGTCAATAAACGGAATGTAATATAATAACATATATTCGTCGTATATATTATAATATTATATCTATACCTATACCTAAATATTTGTATTACCCAAAAACCACTAAATAGAGGTATATGACGTTTTACACCGATGTGTTACTGGAGGTATAACTTAAAACCTTTTGGCGTAGGAAAATATTTTGTTTTTAGGCAAGAACGGTTTTATAGTCACTTGGGACATTATACATTGTCACAAAGATGGCCTTATATACACTTAAGATGCTATAGAGTAAGATAATTAAAAGTACTCCATATATTGATAAGGTAATTATTGTAAAGTTAAGAACTTATGTATTTGATGTTAAAGATTAAGCAAACCAATAGTAAGAGATCTGGTAATCGAGCACCACTAAAGCAAGAGTTGGTAAAGGGGTCACGAACGCCATTAGAAGTTTATTTCTACGCCAGATAATACAATGATGGCTAATTGGATAGGTTAACTGTGCTGGGAATTTGGGACTGAGTTCTCAAACTAGTCTCATAGCTGACTTACTAGACAGAATGTAAGGAGGGAGATAATCACTATGATTATTATTACTTATTTAGCGGGTATGTTGGGGCCTGTTATTTTTCTTCCTCAATTCGCCATACTTATTTATAAAGCAGAAGCCACGCTTGCTTCTATTTCATATAGGTAAGTAATAAGTATAATTAGTAAATCACGGGATCTTACCAGGTTTTATTTTTATTGCATGGGTCACGGATAAACTGCAGTATACCCGTGATCATGGCGGTTGAAACACTGCCGAAAAATCGGGAACTTAATAAAAATAAAACGTGGTAAGATCCCGTGATTTACTAATTATACTTATAAATAATAACCGCGTCAAACTTAAATAAAAAATGTAAGTAATATTAATAACTAGTGGTCACCCAATGGTCTAAATTCGACCATAAACATTTTAATTTATCTATCTATAAGTTTGAACATTATTAAAGTTCTATTGCCAATGATTATAGTTTTATGCTTGTGTGCGTCAAATACACGGAAGTTTGTCTAATTTTCTTTTATTGATTTAATAATGTATTTTTACGTAGGTATAATTAAAAGAAAATTGGCATTCTGCACCCTTTCTCTATATAAACTAAGTGTACGCAATATCAGACTCCACCGTCGACGCACTTTACTTCAAAATGGACAATAAGATACGTTAATTTAGAAAGATCAACTACATACAGTTCAAAACAATGTTTTAGAATTTAGACATTTTGAAAACTCTAAAGTTATTTAAATAATAATTTGCAAACTAAAAATTACGGAATAGGTTAAGAAAGGTAAACTTCAGATTTTATGGATACCTAAAGTGATTAAAAATATCGTTCTAACTACTGCCCACGATGTCGCTGAAAATTTTCTTTGGACAATTTTAAAGCACCGTCCATTTCTTTACCTTTTGTATTGTGTGCAAATGAGAAAACCTTGAAATTATCTTTAACTACTTATAGTATTCTTCACAGAGTGAAATGTGATACTCGGATATTAACAATATCTATATTTTTCATATTCAGTATGAAATAGTTACTTGGATACGTAAAATTCTTTAATATTAATTTCTATTAGTGGATACTCTTTTAAAAGCAACAATTCATAACGTAGCCACTGTGGTTAGTGTATTTTTTTTAAAGAGTAATAATAGAATGGTGCCTATTTCTGGTGGTGCACCAGTGGAGGACGATAAGATGAACGTAAGTTTAGGTCAGTTGGCCCAACGTGGCAGATTCACTAGGAATCATGATGTTTTCTTAAGGGAACCTTGAAGAGGTCAACTTGACTTATTATGGAGAATTATAGAGGTTTACTCAGAGCTTTCAATCTCTAATCTGGTTTTAGTATAAACTTAGAATAGGCTTAACTTACTATAGTGATCTCTACTACTGTCTCTTCTACTCTACTCTACTACTACTTCTAGGAAATCCATGAAGAAGCATATCTATAGAATAGAAGTATAAAAAGCCATCTGCGTGGGTACCTCGATCTCACCTACTTCAGCCTGCAAGCAGCTTGTTTTGTAAGATAAGTTTCGGTTTTAAGGTTAGATAAGCCTGTGAAATTAAAGATTAAAGAGGCGTGACTTAGTTCTATGGAATAGCAGCATTCCAATAAAATAAAAAATAAAAAATGGACAGCTCCGTCCAGATCAACCCATGAAACGATGGTCTGATGACCTAAACGAAAAAAATAATAGCTGTGAGGTGACCTAAAATAGAGAAAAATAGTAATGGGGAGATTCTCTCCATTTTTAGCTCAGTCTTACTCTCTCTCTATGTCTATTCTTCATAACAGTCCATTATCGTCGATCATCCTAGGTAGGAACCATACTGTTCATACAATTTGATGCCCTATGTTTATATTACCGCTACAATAAATTTATTAAAAAAAATATGATGTCGCTTCACACCAGTATAAATACTATTACATATGTGTCTGTGTGTCTGTCCAATGTTTTCCTTTTACCGATTGAATGAATTTTATTAAAATAAGGTGTGAAAATATGCTCATGCATAGATAGATATGCGTAAATATAATGAGGACGGAGAGAGTATGTTTTATTACAAAAATAATCTAAAAATATACCCGTACAAGTATTTCTATCAGTTGTCTAGTTCTCATAACACAAGCATTGCTTAGCTTGAGAGTAGATGGCCCCGTGTGAATTGTCCGAAGTGTTGTGAGTTGCCCAAAGTAAACATTCTAAGAGTAAATTTACGTACATGTGCTTAAACTTAACTGAAATTAGACACGATAAACGTATTGTGATAAAGCTAGATACTTTTTTGGACTTATTGGATTAAATTTCACTTTTGGTTTACCTAACTACGAAATACCAAAAGATAGGTAGGCAATAATTTTCTGTAAGATATGTATAACGCAATGAGGCTCTGCTGTCAAATTATATTTGGTGTAGACATTTATATCAAATCGATTTAATTATTCAGAAACAATTCGGAATCCAGCGGAGCATACATTAAAATACTTTTTTCCGTTTCAAAAGTAATCAACGAACAAATCCAAATTTGATTAGCATTGTCGTGTCCCGTGCGGTAATCTACCCGGCTGGCAGCCGGTCACTTAATTCGACTCGTTTTAAAGCAATCTTTTTCAGCCCGAACATGCCGTTAAAAGTATTTTCAAACGAATAAATAATTTACGAAACGAGGACATAAAGTTTGTGGAGCGACCCCGCTCGCATGCAAATCGAGTTGAAAGAAAGAAGTGTCCGCGACCGCGGCACCATCTCTTTCCGCCTCTAGTTTTTTGAACGCGAGCGACAGAGAGCGCAAATCCAGAGTGGATTACCATTTGAGCAGGAGGGAGAGAGAGGGAGTCGGTAGTTGCGTTCGGCTAAGTGAATCAGTGCCCGCGCTCGCTATTAAATCAGGGCGCGGGAGCGGGGGAGGCGTGCGTGCTAAAATGCTCTTTACGGCGGGTGGGGTTTTGTTTGCCGAGGGCGGTTTCTGAACGATTACTCGCAGTTCTGTGTTCGTGGCGAGTGCGGCGTTCGCCAGTCGCTCGGTGCCGCGGCTCGTGAGTGATCACGCGTGTTTCCGAACGGAATGACAGTGACAGCGCGGTGACCGCGCTTTCTCGCACGCGGAGTTTGGCGGGAAAACTTCCCGCCCAAAAAATAACAAAATATTTTCGGACGCTAATAAGGTAATTTAATTTAATAGTGTATAATTGTCAATTAGTTAATAAATTAGGTTTTAAAACTTCCGAGAAAAATATTTCTTCTGAACGAATATTTATAAGAGTAATTAATAAACGCAGTGATTATTTGCCCAGTGGTACTTTATAAATATTTAGGAGAGTACTATTTTACTTAATTATATATTTTACTATTTACTAAAACTACTACTAAAAAATATTTAAAAATTGTGTTCGGATAGGACAATGAAAAAATATAGTTATGAAAATACGGTTCAACACTTTATAACTATGTTCAAGTATGTATTTTTAAAGTTACCTTCTCATTAAAATAAATACAAGACTATTTTTCAAAGTTTTTTTTTTAATATTTATAATACATATAATTAAAAAATATATACCTATAGACTTCTGGCAATTATGTATTTATATATTAGGTATTTACTTATCTACTATTATTGAGTATAGGTATTTTTTTTATATTTTTATTTCACACACATATTTATTTAAAAAATATTGTAATATTTTTTTTACGTTGAGTTGGTAGGTTTATATGTATTTATTATTTTATTAGTGGTTACGTTTTAACGGTTAATAAGCTGAGAAGTTGACATTTTCTTCAGAGTTTTAATTTAATTTATGAAATGTCATCGGACCCTTAAAAAGTATAAAAAAAACTGAGTACCAAAAATACTATTCGCTGGAAAATAATATACTTATATTATATGAAACTATATCCTAACAGTAAAATTGCAACTGGTTTGTAATCTCAAATAAATTACTTATAAAATTAATTCTTCGAAACAGTAGACAATCTGATTATTTGCTTTTTTTTAATGCAAAATTTCTAAAAACGCAGAATTTAAAATTTTCAAAAGATTAATAAACACGACAATGAAAATAAAGATTTGTTTAACGTCAAGTACTTGACTGCAATGTTTAAATTTACAAATTTTTGAGTTGTATTAGAAAAAGCAAAATTCTTCGTCACTTTGCTTTTTTTTACGTTATTCCGGGTAAACTTTCCAACTGTTTTTTAGTCAAAGAATATCTATTAAAAAAATACTAAATTGTTCCGGCCATTCTCCATTTTCGCGCTTAATAATACATATAGGTATATAATATATTTTGACATTATTCTGTATTTATACAGATAATTAGTAATTAAGAATATCTAACATATGTTATTCTCATTTCTTTCCATTTAAACTGACTGAAAATAGAAATGTTCAATTACTACAACATGAACGTATAGGTATGTGTATCCCACAATTTTAATCAAGAATAATGATAAAAAACTACTTGGACAAATCACACAGCGCCATCTAGTCCCAAGCTAAGCAGAGCTCGTGTTATGAGTAGGTACTAGACGACTCATACAAGTACTTACGTTTTTTGTAAATACGTAAATAATAGGTATAAGTACATAGAAAATACCGAGATCAATACAAACAATCATACTAATTAAGAGAAATCTAACCAGCGAAAATTGGAAGTAAAGCGGTATGTAATCGTACTTTCAAATCATTCAATTTTTTCTCATGGATCATCTTTTAAATAACAATAAGCCATGTTGCCTATAAGTTTAAGATTGTCATCCTAATTCCTGAAGACGCATATCAAACATTTTTTATATTTCACCTCCTCACAATTTTACTATTTAACTAGCTGGTCCCGTGACTTCGTCCGCGTGGATATTAACTTTATATTTCTGAAATAAAAGATTTTTTCTAAAATAAATGTAGCCTATGTTACTCGTTATTACATCACCTACCTGCCAAAAAAAGTCCCGTTAAAATCGGTCCAGCCATTTCCGAGATTAGCAAAAAACAGACCGACAGACAGACAGATAAAAATTGTAAATAGTGTTATTTTGGTCTATGTACCGTATTTATATTCATATGCATGTAGTAAAAAACGGTTATTTCAATATTACAAACAGACACTCCAATTTTATTTAAATGTATAGATAATGTATAAATCTCCAATTTGATTTGAAAACATTTCTTTACTTTATTTATATAAATTATATAATATTTGTAACGGGACTTTTATGGAAAGAGAGATAGATAGAGATACCTCTCTATCAAGGTATGGTAGTAGAAAAAACTGCTAGCACCTACCGACATTGATATGACTGTCACTCCAGTCAGCTCGTGACTACAACTGTTAGTACTACTACATACAAGTGGACTTTATAAATTGTTAAAAATAACCATTACTTTACTTTACGATTTCTTCTCTAAATATACAAATGGACTGGAAAATTGGAGCTGTTCAATCAGAACGGTATCAATGTATCACATGATTTTATTAAAAGCTCGTAGACACACACAAATGTAATATTAAAATCAATTGGCTTATTAAAAACGTCATAGCGCTGCACGTCGTCTCAATCGGCCGTAATATAATAAAGGCCAATAAGCCATGTTGGCAATAAGCTCAATTATTGACAAATAGAGTATCAATATGCAATTGGTGTCTGATGCCCGGCGCCTCGTTGAGTGATTTCAGTGTTATGAAACATACTCGTATTTATTCATTCTGCATACACAATAGGTAGGTATGTATGACGGCAGCTGTGGTCTGGAGCAGTGGTTCCCAAATAGTTTTTGCTGCGTACCACTTCAAGACCTCAAACCTTGCATATCCCTTATTGTAGCAATCACACTAATATTATAAATGTGAAAGTTTGGGAGCGTGTGTGTATGTTTGTTTTACTGATAGTCGCATGTACGTCTTGATGCGACTTCACGTACCCCCGGGGGAACGTTTACCACTAATTGGGAAACAACAGTCTAGAAGTTAAGCACACCGCTTTACTTCTGATGTTCGCAGGTTAGATTCCTCGCACAGTGCAAACATTTGTATTCATGAGTATGATTGCTGCTATCCTTCTGGGTGTTTTCCATGAATATTATGTATGTATTTACAAAATAAAAGTATCTATGTATTTAGGTATATCAGTAGTCTACAAGTAGTACCTATAACAGAAGTTCTGCTTAATTTGGGATTAGCTGTCGCTGTTTCAATTGTTCAAGGATATTATAATAATAATAATTATAAATTTTATTCGTAAATGATACACTATATATACATATGTATGTACATGTAACTTTGAATAATTAGGAACTAGTAGTAATTATAATTACTCGTCTTCGTGGCGGTTGTACCACTGCATAAACATCGGAAACTTAATAAGTAAACCGTGGCAAGATCCCGTGAATTTCTTAATGTTACGAGTTAATAATTATTGCTTCGACTCCGGACTCTCACAAGGAATGACATAATAGTTTAAATGTAATTATTTACATTGTAAGATTCCTTGTGAGCAGTAAAATAGATTATTAATAATTAAATATTAATTACATTCAAATATCAACCTTATTAATATAAAAACTGCTACGTTAAGGCACGCGTCACTTAAAACTAAACTTATATTTTTTATATAAAACTGGGAAACCATTATTTTTATTACGTTAAGTGCAAGCAGTTGGTTGTACAAATTCATTTTCAGGATTTCGTATTTATAATAACAGTGTTAACTCTTATTGACTTAGGTGCTACGTTGATGCTACGAAATTGCTACGAGCAGCATTAAACGTAAATTTGTTTTATGTTTGCATTACTTCACATAGAGTTGGGTTCGATTTCTCGCACTATCCTATACATTTCCTTTCTCCTATACATTTGATGTATAGGAGTGTTTGTATATGTCTGGCTGTATATTACATATGTATTTACAAAACATGTATTTAAGTATTATTAACAGTTGTCTAGTACCGATAGACACAAGCTCTGCGTAGCCTAATGTTAGATATCGCTGTGTGAATTGTCCTGGGTTGTTATTATTGCTATTTCATTTAAAAATAATATAGTAATAAATATTCTTATGAATGTAATATCCCACATGGGGTAGGAAGCGACATTTTTGATTTGTCCAGATATACTATATATATTTACTAGATATTGCCTAAATATCACTTGCACACGAGGCCGAACGGGGCCTATCTGAATAAATGATTTTGAATTTGAATGTATCATTGAGAATGTTTTAGTCCTTTTGAACTGAAATATTCTTATATTTAAGATTTTTCTCAATGGTTACGTCTAACTACGTTTCTGAATGTTATTTAACTTGAATCTGTTTATTATAAAAGTGGATGTTTATATTGTCTCTGGAACACGATTAATATAATCTTTATATATATTTAAGTACATTTAACCAAATTTCTTCTTCCTATCCTCAGTTCATAATGACACTTTAGGGTATTTACTTATTTGTGTTTAAGTAATTTAATTGTCTTAATTGATTCATGTGGTCGTCTTCCGGGCGGCGATGATGTTGATGATGATGATCATGATGAATTGATTCATTTCAGTTATCCTATATTATAGTATGTATATCCATATATTTACTTTAACTTCTTACTACGACTACGACGGGGCTCTTTCCGATGCCATCTCCTTATGCACGAAAGAAGATCTGAACACGGCCACCGATTGTGCCATTTAAATTGCCAAATTTTGGGTTATACATATTTAGGTTTAACTTTGACACGAAAGAAGAAGACATCTTGATTCATACAGTCACAGCCAATCCATCCCATATTTATTATATTTTAACAATAATAATAACAATAATAATATATTTTTTTGGTAATATTCTCTAATTCTATGATATAATTATATTAAAAAGTCGAAAATAATAGTGACCGAGAAGTATTAATAAAATTTAATATTTATAGATATTAAATTCTATTATGTGGCCAAGATCACTATAATAAATATATACTATAATTACACTATAAATCGGATAATATAACAGATATTAAATTAAAAAATCCTGATTATAATGCTTCTAAGTTAAAAAAAATATTGTTTACTTAATGCTACATTATTAATTAAAGGCTTAGTATTTATTCTTGTATTCTTATACCATACTTACTACTAAGCCTTTCGTGGACTAACTTAATCTAAACAGAGGTTTGGTATGGTATTAGAGAATT